CTCTTGTTCAACCTTTAGAAATGCTTTTCCACCTGATAGGTTTTTAGACACGTTAAACATTAAAATAAGCATGGAATTTTGTGCCCGCTTATTAATATTGCTGTTGTAGCGTTGTCCACAAATTTTTGCAACAAGAATTTAAATCATTTTTGGAAATTAGTCCCTATCTGTTCAACCATCAAACCATTTGAGTTCAGATAAAAAGAAACAGCAAAGAGCAACGTAAAAAGTGTATCGCGTAGCATAAGAGCCGTAAAAGAGAGTATATCAAGAAGTTTATGGCTGTCCACAAACTTTTGTTACAGAGTGTATCAATACGTTGAAGCCACATCAGCTGAACCAGATGTTTCGAATCAATTCGATGCACAACTTCTTGCTGGGACTCCCTGGAACAGGAAAGACGCACTTTGTGAAGAAGCTGATGCTGCTTCTGGATGTTCGCCTGAAGAGGATGAAGATTGCGAATGAAAACAACGAGAAAATCTCAAGCATTAAGGAATGGGACTATTCCAAAATGAGTGACAATCTCAAGAAGACGATCGATGGAATGGAGTCACGAGTCCACTTGTATTGTGTCACACTGGCTGATATCCAGGATAAGATGTCAGNTATCAATACGTTGAAGCCACATCAGCTGAACCAGATGTTTCGAATCAATTCGATGCACAACTTCTTGCTGGGACTCCCTGGAACAGGAAAGACGCACTTTGTGAAGAAGCTGATGCTGCTTCTGGATGTTCGCCTGAAGAGGATGAAGATTGCGAATGAAAACAACGAGAAAATCTCAAGCATTAAGGAATGGGACTATTCCAAAATGAGTGACAATCTCAAGAAGACGATCGATGGAATGGAGTCACGAGTCCACTTGTATTGTGTCACACTGGCTGATATCCAGGATAAGATGTCAGGAGAGGCAGAAAGAGCAATGACAAAGCTGTTTAAAACAGTTAGAGTTGAGGAAGACTATAAAATGTCGATTGTACTCTTTGACGAGGCAGAGGCATTCTTTAGTAACGCAGCAGTGAATGATAAGCACGTTATGGGACTGAACTGTGCCTTCTTGAGTGCATTTGACAATATGGGCGATCAGCCTAATCCAGTCTTTTTCATGGCCATAACAAACGTGTATAGGGATATTGCAGAGAGCTACAAGCTGAGATTCTTCAATTCAGTTCTGTTTGAGATGCCTGATAAGGCTGAAATGGAAGCAGTGGTAGATGGAAAACTAAAGGGACTTGTGGACGCAGACACCTTGAAAAAGGTTAAGTTGCTTCTGAAGCACACTGTTTCTCAGGCTGTGCTTGTTAACAAGTTGACTGAAGCATTTGAGTACGACATGATGGGAACTGCGGTGAAATTTGACATTGAGAAGTTCGAGGAGGAAATTGATACGCATTACAGGCAGTCAGCAAAATAAGATTTAACAGAATATAAGGTGGAGAGAGTAACAGTTTAAGCCCGGCTAGCTCAATAGGTAGAGCATCAGACTCTTAATCTGGGGGTTGGGGGTTCGAGTCCCGCGTTGGGTGCTTTTTTATTTTTATTGAAAAGGAGCAGCCAATGGCACAGGAGGCAGAGAGACCAGCATGCGACTGTGACTTGAAGAAGCATTCTGAAGAGAGCGGGCCTTGTATTCTTGGAATGAGACCAAATGAGACGAGTTATAAGATGGAGCAGAAGAAGGAGATGACTGAGTGGGTTCAGGCCGTGTTGGATGCGATTGAACGAGATGAGGACGTGAATGAGAACGAAGTGAGAGTTCTGTTTGAAGAGATTCAGACAAAACTGCCAAAATAAAAGAGGAAAAATTTGACCAGATTCAGAGATGAAGAAAATGGTAGATTCAAAGGAGCGACATGGGAACTTGGTAAAGAAGGAGGTGCTGTTTGAGACAGCACTGACTGCTCCAAAGATGACAGAAGACGAGAGTAAGGACGTGATGAGCTACATAAATATGCGATTCAGAGAACGAACATTCGACAACTACGAATACAAGGAAGTTAGAGATGCGTTAGAAGAGGAAGCCTACACGTATGAGCTATGCACAGAAAATAAGGAGCTACTGGAACTGTGGGATGATATCGAAGGAGCCATTGATATGCATAAATATGCATAATAAGAACAAACAAATTCCATGAATAAATTTCTAAACCCTGCATGAACACCAATGGAATTAAGAAGGAGACGTACAAGGACTATTTCTATGGAAAGAGGCGTATTGCATGCTTCCTACTGCTTGTGAATGCCATACTGATCTACAAGACACTTGAGACACTTCTGCGAGTGAAGGCAATGATGGATTCTCGTCTCGAGCTCATGGACTTCAACTACTCCTCAAACCGCCCTAGTAAAATCAGCTTCACTTTCAGGCTGCTGAACTACAAGTCGCCCTTCAACCTGTCGATCTCGAAATTCAAGCTCTGCCTGAACGAAGCCCTCGAATTCAGAACGGAGCAGATTTCCCTAAAAAAGATGGACGACTTCATCGTCAATGTCAGGGTCTCCCTTGACAAATGCAACCTTAGAAAGTTCGACTGGAAGAACTTCAACCTGGCGGCTGAATGCCGAATCGCCCTTGGAATCTTCTACGTTCCCTTCCTGTTTCTGGTCAGCTACGATAGGCGAATTGAAATCTACGCCAAGGGCAAAACGGACAGAACGTGGTACAACGAGCTGAATCTGATGACGACAACCAAGACGCATTTGACCTACGAGAGCATCATCTGCACCATCGATAAACACGCCTTCTTCAAGTCGTATTTTGGAGACGAAAACAACGTGAATGTGAAGTTCGCAGACCTGCAGGTCTTCCTTTCACCTGCGATCTTCGACAAAATCAAAATCCACGGATTCCGTTACAACAAACAGCACAGAAGCGGCCTGATCAAAATGGAGATCATCAGGTCGTACGACAACAAGCAGTTTGGGACGTATTTGATCGATTTCATCAAATACGGCAAGCCACTCTACATCGAGCACCTTGTCCAGAACGAGAAGACACACGCAGTCCACTTTGATCCGCTTTTCAGAACGCGACTTCAGCTGATTCCGCCTTTTACGGAGCCCTATTGCGCCATCAGAAACTTCTGCCTCAAAGACGGCTTCTCCTGCAACATCGAATTTGCCAAGGACTCCTTCAACGACTTCGTCTACCTCTGCGCCTACTTTCTGCTCAAGAACAAGACGGTGCAATTCCACGGCCTCCAAAACGAGGTTGAAATTCTGACAGGCACAATAAAATTCAGAGAGAGGGGGATTGAACTCGCAGGAAACATCCTCGACTACAATCCACTTTTCCGCTTCTGCATCTACCCCGAGCCAAGGATGGCTCTTGAACTCGTCGACGACGACGACCCCGTCGTGGGGCTGTTTCGTGGAGTCCGCTACGTCACGAACCTCTTTCGGAACCACGAGATCCTCTACAGAAACAGGGCGGCAGCGGTGATGGAAGGAACAGTCGACTTCATGAAGAAGTTTGACGTCGAGCACCACGTCAAGGAGCATGCGATTGGAAGTGACAAGACACGCGTTGAAATCGTCTCAACCTGCTCATTCCGCAACACGGCCGACCTGAACCAGTCGGATTTGAGCAACTTCTGCCTCTTTGAGCTGAAAAAGGACATTTTGTTCAGACCGCGGTCATCTCGCCTTGACGGAGACGGCCGAGTCGTCCACGGTGCCATCTACTACGAAATGTCCGTCTCTCCCCTTTCACGCCGCCTCTACGGCCAGTTCAAAATGGTCACGAACCTGAATCTCCTGGAAAGTGCCCTTAGAATCCTGAACACGAAGGGAGCCGATGCAATTTTCAACCTGTTTGGAACAGAATTCCGCTTCGTCTTCGAGGACGACAAGGCCTACGACATCACCACGTTCCTCCTTGGCCCAGACTGCTACGGATTCACAAACTGCCTCAACACCGGCAACTTCCGCGACAAGTCGCTCTTCTTCAACGACAACTTCGCCAGGGAGGACCCCGACGTCCGCTTTGGGAAATTCCTCTTCGAAGTCACCGACTTCAAAAACCTCGTGAGCTTCGACGCGTCGCTCTCCACGGCACCAGGCGGCGACCTCGACGCCTTCGTCGACCGAGTCCACCCGCGAGGAGACCAGCGACTCCTCTTCGTCCAGCGCCTCTTCTTCGACGAGCTGCAGCTGCGAATGAGCGCCGTCCGCGGCACCAGCCGCTACGGCTTCCTCGACGCAGTTGCGTCGCCTGCCTCGATCCGCTTCACCTTCGTCGACGGATTCCTCTACATAGACATGCCTGGAACAGCGAGAATCAGCATCACGGCCTACGCCTCGTTCTTCGACGCCTCGTCGCCCCTCTTCGTCCCAAAAGGCGGGTCGTGGCTCACTGCCCTCGTAGGCAACTTCGTGATGGTCCAAGTCCTCAGGGACGACACGCCCATCACCAAAAAGCAGATCAGAAACTGGTCGAACTTCGGCACCGAAATCAACTTCAGCATCGACAGCGAGCAGCACCTGGTCGTCGTCCTCGACCTGAATCTGCCCAGGGAACTCGTTGCCACGAACCAGGCGATCGTCTTCAGCGGAATCACGCCCATTTCAGTCACAGCCCGTCGCGTGACCGANTACGCCTCGTTCTTCGACGCCTCGTCGCCCCTCTTCGTCCCAAAAGGCGGGTCGTGGCTCACTGCCCTCGTAGGCAACTTCGTGATGGTCCAAGTCCTCAGGGACGACACGCCCATCACCAAAAAGCAGATCAGAAACTGGTCGAACTTCGGCACCGAAATCAACTTCAGCATCGACAGCGAGCAGCACCTGGTCGTCGTCCTCGACCTGAATCTGCCCAGGGAACTCGTTGCCACGAACCAGGCGATCGTCTTCAGCGGAATCACGCCCATTTCAGTCACAGCCCGTCGCGTGACCGATGAAATCTTCTTCACCTTCAACGTGACCGAAATCAACTCAGAAGACACCCTCACAATTCGGTCTGAACTCCGCCTCTGCCTGGACCCAGACACCCTCACAGCCCCGTTCTCCTTCTCCTTCTCTTCCTCCTACGGCAGTCGCCCACCAACTCAGACGAGTCTCCTTTGCACCTCCGACTTCTTCCGCTGGTTCTATTTCGAACAGGAGAGGCCGTTTGATCAGTTCAAGGAGAATGCGATGAAGCCGAAGCTGAAGGTGATTGCCCACACCGTGACAGGAACAGACTGCTCTGATTCGGAGGCGAAGGTGCTCAGGCTCT